TGATACTATCACACAATTTCAACTAATTTGTTATTATTGAAAATGCCATCCAATACTGATGTTAATTAAATCTAGCAATACCTTTTTTTTGAAAATCCAATCGTAAATACTATCTATGAATACAAACAATATAACTCTGTTGTGTTCTCGTAATCTGGTTATAATTAGTTATGAATAGAAAAATAAAAGATCATCTATGATGTTTGTTTGTTTGTTTTTTTTACATTTTAATAAAAGAGACAAAATAGAAAGAGAGAAAGAGTTAGTGAGTTAGCAAGTAAGTAAGTAAGTGAGTGAGTGAGTGAGTTCATTGTTTGTTTTTCTCTTTAACTAATGAACTTTAAATTCCTTTCTATTCAATGATTAGTTTTTAGTAGTTCAATTGAATATGTAGGTTCCTTTTAATTAATTGTATTTTTAAAAAAAATAATATCTCAACTTTAATGTAAACCACTATTGAAAAAAAAAAAGAAAAACATCTTCCACGATGAAAAAAAAGCAAATAATTCTATGCATTAAAGATTAATTAATAGGAATATTTATGAATAAATCGATTATATCCATGTGATGATAATCAATGTATTTGAAAAGTCTTAAATAGTTGTCAACATAATTTGTGTTTACTGGGGTACTTGTGCCATAATAGAGACTAATATGACACTCTAATAGATTGATTATTGATCTAATTGTTAATATTAGTTTTGAGTGATATCTTTTTGTTCAATTTCTTAATTACATTTATCATTATCACGCTTACTTACTTATTCCTGTTAACCCTTCTGGAGGAGTATAGGCCAACCATCAGCACTCTCTATTTAATCTTATCCTGAACAATCCTTTCCAATTGTTTCCAGTTGCTATTCATTCTTTTTATGTCTACTTCCAATTCTCAACGTAGTGTGTTCTTCGGCCTTCCTCTTTTCCGCTTCTCTTCAAGACTGCGAGTTAGGGCTTGCCTCGTGATACATTTTGATGATTTCCGCAATAAATGTTCTATTCATGCTTACAAATGCATTTTGTTTGATAAGTAATAAATTATGCAAAATTTTAGTCAATCATATTTTTATGTTGTTTGACTGAAAATTGTTAACCAAAATTAATGTGTTTTTGGTGATAGTCTACGGCTACTCCTTAAATAGAAACAAACATATCATCTATACATCTGTAGTATTACAAATGAGGTTGTTTCACGTGGACACTAGTGTAGACAAACATATTTTATAAAAACATTTCGTTTCATACTACAACTAGGACGTGACATCAGTCCTTGAAGTCACTAATTTCTGGTCTCAGCCATGTTGGTGGACGCAAACTACTCGGTTGAGGTCGATACGACTATCGTAACCAGTGGTTGGAAACTGTAGATGACATGACTCAAAAACGATCACAATGATGTAGGTGTATACACTCTCTGTCTTCCCTTAAACCGTGAGATTAAAATTACTTTATACTCTTCTTTCTACTAGCTAATTCTTTCTTCCTGTATTATATCCTCATATGCAGTCTTTCTTTTATATATTACAATAATTGAAGTAACTGCTTCCATGAATTTGTTGTTCAACTTGTTGTGCTAATGAGGTGTGGCAACTTGGACCGATGCATATATGTGCCTGGTCCTACACTGTAGCTCACTGATGTCATACTGAGTCATTTCTAAATAATTACTGTTATACAATAGTTATAGGTAGAAAATTTGATTAAATACACATGAGAAATTTTCAATTAACAGCTAAGTGGAGAACGTGATGGCGTTTGAAGTGAAAGGTACTGGTTTTAACTCTCAGAGTGAACATCAACCCTGAGACACAGGTACATCCATCTGACGAGTCCCATATAAGACGAAACGCTTGTCCTGGATTTCACTCATAGCCACCACCATCTTTGCTTCTAATGCTTGTGACTGAAGACAATATCGAGGCAATCCGCACAGAATGCACATATGCCGATAACAGACTTGTCAATTGCAGTCCTAAACATCAATGTGAAGATTCAAACAACCACTACAAAAATGAACGGAATTTTATAGATTTGTAAACATTAGTGGATTGCACATGTTGGAATTTCAAATAAATTAAGAAACTTTTAAAATATAAATCTCTTTCATCACACTCTAAACAACTTGTTCCTTTGAATTTCGCATGATAAGCCTATTATATTAAAAGTGTTTTATTTTTTATTTTCATGTGTATAAGCCAACCAATTCAGTATTGAGACAGTAAATCTTTGTTGGCGTTGAATTAAGATTGTCATATCACTTAGTCATAATCAACATCTAACTTGACATAAAAATGCGCTGATTCAATTTTTTGTACTAGCATATAAGCTTACATATATTGTTATGACCTATTCAGTGGTATTCAGTCAGCTCGGTATAATTAACCCAAGTTATAATAGTATATTAACACGACGAGGTGAAATTTGTAAAATGATTAGCAAGGCAGTCGGAAAATGTAATATCGGTTATGACGTGAATGACTAAATATTGGGAGCATTGTTTGAAGAGACATATATATAAAGGAATACTGGGACCCGAGATCTAAATTGAGATGAAAGGTAAACTCATTTGACCCAACCCGAGGTATGTCATCTAACATTTTTAACCACTGATCATGATTATCTCTCAGACCTCAATCAGGTAGTCTGTATCTACCAATATAGCTAAGAGCAAGTCATTGACTTCGTAGACTTATGCCATTTTTTACTTTGGTCATTCATATCTTTCTTCTAGCTTACTTATGCACCGGCTAAAACTGAATGCCGGGGTAGGCAGCCGTTGACCATACGTTACACATGTCCTAGCCACAATTGCGTCAACCGGTTCGCCATTTTTACCTGATAGCTTATGGGTAAACTGAGCAGTGAATAATTTCTTAACGAAGAGGGAGGAATACTTCGAAGATACGTATGATCGAAAACTTTCAGTCTTCTATATATATCATGTCACAGCTATTCAAAACTTGCAGCTCCTTTATTCAATCTAAGGCATAGTTATAACTGTACACTGTTCAGGAGCCTAAAACTGAAATAAAAATTAAATCAGTACATTGTAACTCCCAATGATCTTCCAAATAAGATCAGTTACTTTTCGATTGAGACCATGAATCGATCAATGTTAGACCACCCCTAAAAACCTGAAATCAGTGGACGACTATTTCATCCTAACCTGGGACTGATTAGCAGAGCACATCAATGATTTTCGAACCTAATCCTTCCAGGTTTTCAATGATTGTCCAACGTTAATCGATCCATGATCTCAATCAAAACTCAACAATCTTCACAACCCTATACTGAGTGATATCAGTTGTATGTAAAATTCTCAGCATAGAAAGCTTGGTAAAACAAAAATGTTTTTCAACATTTTGATTATGTCGATATCACTATTTCATACTAAACTAACTGAACAATTAAAACCTACACATAGAATTTGATTTTTCAGATAAATTAAACAGTTTGTATTTGATATAATAATACTTATTGTATAATTCATACATAAAAACAGCATAATTATCACTATCACTTCTTCAAGTAAAATAATATAACGAACCAAAAAAATATTTTTGAAAAAAGGAACAAATTGAAATGTTAATTAAAATTCAGAATTTGTTTGAAAGATTTTTTTAATGGATTAATATCAGAAGAGGTTTTTGTGGATATTATAGTGATTTTTAATGGTTCAGAGCTAAACCATCATGGAAAACATGGAAGCACTGGATGACCATTTTGTCCTATTTTTGAGACTCCTCAGCAGTTGAAGTTAGACATTAACACCGTTATATTTCGATCGGCTCAGTGGTCTAGATGTTTAAGCGTTCCCGCGCGAGACCGATAGGTCCTAGGTTTGAATCTCGCGAGGCGGGATCGTGGATGTCCACTACTGAGGAATTCTATACTAGGATGAAACGGCCGTTCACTGATTCCAGGTTTTTCATAGTGATCTAGCTTCAATTGAGTCATGATCTCAACCGTTGAAATTAGTAAAAATGTATTAACTAATATTTGAAATTCTTAATTTTTAACATAAAGTTAATGAAATAATATTTCTTATGAAAGAATTAATTGATAAGTAAGAATTGAGTAGTATATATTGATTAACATACAATTCATTTAATCTATGGCTGTATAAACCATTATAAAACTTGTGATACTACTGTGTTTCGATTCAAATCAAAGAGAGAAAAAGAGAGAACAATTAAATTAGACATAAACCAATATAAAATTAATCCGATATTATCGTAAATGTTAGCAGTGATTGTAAACAGAAAATAAGATTTGAAAAGAAACTGAAACATAAAAAAAAATTGTGATGTAATGCTGAAACTTAAATTTTAGAGGAAGAATATACAATAACAAAAAAAGAATAAGGTTATATAAGTTCAGCTGATTTCCAGCCACTCCACCTAAATTCTACAATCAATGATTATAATTACCATTCGAACTTCAACTAAAAAAGTTTGTACATTTCTACATGGTACAACAGTTAGTAGTAACTTTTTGATTTGATATTATGTTTTGTTTTGACCCTAACTTATGGTCTTCTACAATCAGATAGATGTAGGTTATGGATAGCTAACAAGAAATACAGGAAAGTTTTATTGTAATTAACATGAATAGAACTTACCAAATTATACATGATAATAAAAAGATATACAGGGAAATAGAATGTAAATTATCTCATTCATTATTGTATGATGATGGTCAGAAGTACACTTAATATGTATGACTGATAGACATCGATTACCTAAAAATAGACAAAGATATAGATTAAAAGACTTCTGATATATATGTCAACGAAAGTCGACAACAGTTTTCACTTGATCATTATTTTATTTGAAGATTGTCACAAATTAGTTATGTATTCACAAGTTAGATGGACATAAAGTAGAAGGACTCATTACTGTAACCGAAAAAATGATTTTATTATTATTATTATTATTATTAACATGCAGTACTTTTTCTAATTCCTATTGATTTTTTTAATTTTTATGCTTATTTATTCACAGACACCATCAATATGTTCAGCGAATTATTCAAATAATTATCTTCATGTAGAATCATCATGTTCACTTAATGTTCCCACATTATCACCATCTATATTGTGTTCTTCATTATGTTCTACAAATTCATCTGATCAAATATCAACAACAATTACATCTTCTAGTCATTTACATCAAGATAATCCATATCGTGGTAAACGACGTCAAGTATCTAGTCCATTAGAAGAGCATAATAAATTGAATAATGAAAATGATTTTATACAAACTCCATCAAAAAATCGACGTTGTTCAAGTTTCAATTCACAAAAATGTCTAATCAATAAACAATTTACAGAACCATTAGATAATAATAATAATAATAACAATAGTTCAGGTAAATAATATTATCCTTTTGTTATAATGTATAAAATATCACATTTTAATATATTATTTCAATAAGAAAGAAAGAAAAACAATTCTCATAGATCTAATCTCGATATGGTCTTGAAGAGCTATGCTTGAACTAATAATAATAATGTTCCAATTAAGTGATCTGATATACTAACATTCATTAGTGAATGCAGAATCCCTGTTTTTAAGTCTCAATAAGAAATCAAGGATAAGACAATAAGTCGAATGATTTGTGTAGGAGCTGGAACACTACCCGGGAGCCCAAATCGAAGCAAATGGTTTTCTTAGGAGGCCATTCCCCAAACCTTTGACCTATAGGTCTAATCTACAAGGCAATGGAGCAACGTTAGGAGATGCAGTATCATGGTAGCCATTGGCAAACAATAAGTTCATATGCCTTTTGTTCCATCAGGATACTGGAGTCCATGTGTACCATCGGTTTAAGATCAGAGTTTTCCAACTCACCTAGTTGGATCCTCTATATCCACCAACCTGTTTAAAGTTCTGAACATTTTCTTTTCTTCATCACAATTTCGTAGAGAATACCCTCACCTCGAGGAGGCAGTCAGTAGGACTTCCCTTGTAGTAGCGGTATACACGTGGCTACGTGAGAGCATTTGGAGAGTGAGAGCTGACTCTCCTCACTCTCGATCGTACCAGGGCATTTGGGGGCTATATATAATTCCACGTAATGAAGCAAATAGAGGCTTACTATTAGGGAATCTATAGAATCACATTAACTAAATGTATAATAAATGAGTACAAAAAAAGAGTTTAAGTGCTAATCTCACGAACAAATTAATATCAAAATTCCATTATTTTCATCTATTTTTCTCATCTTAAATTCGTTTACTGATAATTTTAAGGAATAGGATTTTAAATTAAAAGATAGTTATAACAGAATTTGTTACTTATTGTATGTGATGAATGTTTCGCGTCCGTTTTGTACGATAGTTAGAGCTTTCAAATGAATGATAGAATTAGAAATCTGTGCATGCATTTAAATTCTTGGTCTAGTTTAAAGTGACTTTACCCTTTCATATGTTGTCCTCGTTAACAGCTGTCAAAATGACATATAATCCCTAAGATTTCTTACCAAGTGACATGAATAAGCTTAGTACCTTAGTTTGTGTATTTATTGGGCTAGTCACGTGATAAAACATTTGTGACCACGTAATTAGGTATCATATTGAGAATTAAATTAGCCCCTTGAATGAAGGCCTGTCATTTGTGTAAAAGGTGCAACAACTATTGTTATTACAACAATCATATGTGGACTGCACTTTTCCACTTGAATAAATACAGGCATTGTTCTCATCATCCTAAGTTCGACCCCATATAGAGTTGTCAGTAATGCACTACTGAGTGGAATTCTTCATTAAAAAAGAGTGTTCAACAAGTACTCCTTGGTTTAACAGCAACTGATCACTAAGTAATGGTCAATGCCATGTTTATCCATTCCTTTAATGTACTGATCGAATTCGACTGGTCAATTTGCTATGTAGTCACTAATCCAAGTAATTCAAAATCTTTTTTACTATATTTTGATGCTAGATGTTTGGAGGTAGTCATGAAAATACCCTGCTTGACCTAGGTTTTGTACTAATTAGTTAACATTTGTTAGCAAAGTGTACTCAAAATCTTTGAAGGAACTAATCCTCCTTAGTTTTTTTTCTTTCTTCATTCAATGACTATTCAGTTGACACTCATTTATTATATAATTATTTCTTCAAATTAATTATATTTTTAAAAAAAATTTAACATTCATTATGTGAAAGCAAAAAAGATATGTATACATGAATATGTGTATCTATGCCAATGTATACATACCAGTGTTATTTCCTCTCCCTCTCTCTCTCTCACACACACACACACGCTGATTTATTGATTTCTAGTATGCTAATTAATCATACACATCAATGTACACGTAAAAAAGTTTTGTTTTTCTTGTTTACAAAAGTAATTAGATAATGACATTTCATTTAGTTTTTTAAATACTACTATATTCTTGTTTGTATATTCAGTAGTATAAAAGTAATCAAACTATTAATTACAAACTATTAATAACATATTTAACCTATTCATCAAAATGGATAGTTTGACACTAATCTTTTCTTTTTTTTTAAAAATAATAATAATAAATCAGGGAAAGGAACATGAAATCTTAAATTCATCTTTGATATGGATGTCATTTTTTCTAAGAAGAAAAGTCACCACAATAATAAACAGACAGATGAGAATATAGTTAGATGTATAGACAGACAGATATAAAAAGGCTTAAATGTGAATGAAAAAGTGAATTTTGCCTGTTTTGAAGCTAATATATATCATAGTAACCTACTGATGACAGTGGTGAATGTGTCGCTCCATTTGTTGGATTGGTTGAAGTTAGACATTAACACCATTAGATCCCGGTGGGCTCAGTGTTCTAGTGGTTAAGCGCTCGTGCGCGAGACTGACAGGTCCTGGGTTGAAATCTCACGATGCGGGATCGTGGATGCGTCCCACAATAGGACGAAACGGCCGTCCATTGCTTTCGAATTCTCAATGGTGGTCTAGCCTAGATCGACTCATGAATTCAAATCTTAAAATTGTTAAAATGTTTCTAATATTGAAGAAAGGTAGAAAGTGGGTACATTTTCATATCGCTATATAATCAATTTTAAATCATGTCACTAAATATCTGTAATTAATCATTTCTAATTAGTTTTATTCAATGTTTCCTTTTATACTTATTCAACATTATTATTTAAAATAAAACACAAGTCAGTTTTCGTTACCTGTCGATCTGTTACTTATGAGATTTGATTGTACTATCATTTTCTAATTAACGATGAAAACTTCTCCTAATATGGACGGGAACTAATGTGAACTCAGTAGTACAGTCACTGACACAGAATCTTTTGATAGTTAGCCCCAATACTATCGAGTCCAGAAAAACTTTATGTTCTGAAAATCAAGGAGGGAAAGTTAAAAGGGAAAAACTCTATGATAACATAACATGACCTTGGGACACAGAAAAATTAAAGAACTAAACACATCAACAACTAATCAGCGAATAGCAGAGGTTGTGAGAAACTGTGGATTGGAAAAAAATGTTGTCGCGATTAATATTACAATAAAAAAGTTACGTTTATTGATGAAAATGAGAGACTGATGTTCGCTTAACAGAGTTTCTCCGTAAAAACCTCTCGGAAAATATTTTTATTCTGTATGGTTTATTTTCGTCATATTTCTTCAGGAACTTCTTTTTTCACCATGATATCATCATTCCACTTGCCTCACACACTATTTATGTGCTCTCTATTAACTAATTTCTAGATGTAATTCTCGGAGTACTGGTAGGAAACTGTGGCCAGTTGAGTTCAACCATTTCGATTACGAAATAGTTACTTACCTAGTTGATTGGGACATGGTTGAGCAATATCACGAATTCATTGACACTAAAAATATCAATTATTCGATATTAAATTTTATTGATCTAAAATTTAGACATCTAACGAGAGACCTAAAAGTCTTGAATTTAATTCGCAATGAGGTCGTGAATGCACACTGCTGATGTATGATCTCATACTATAACGAAATAGTGATATTCAATGTTTCCTAGTTGACTTATGATATAAACTACAGTATAAAACAATTTTTCTTTTAAATTTTATTCAGCCAATAAATACATATTAATGTACTCAACTTTGAACCATATTTATTAATGTTAGGATTAATGGAATTTGACGTAGATCAAATAATGAGCTTTGAATCTAAAAACCAATAGTTCAAGTTCAAAACTACTTCTTTATTTCATTCAAAATTTAAACCAGAAAAATAAACCATAAATCTATGTATCTATTCATAGATTGAATGTAACATGCTTTTTGAATACACCTCAATGATCCCTTTTTGAACTTTATTTAACACAATTGTAAATTTTATCAGAATGGGTTTTGTGGAGATTTTAGAAATTTCACAGATTGAAATCATGAGTCAATTGAAGCTAGACCACCATTGAAAACCTAGAAGCACTGGACGGCCGTTTCGTTCTAGTATGGGACGACATTTACTACAGGAATTGATTATGTATCTTTGTGTATGCACGTATACAGTTTCACACACACACATACACATACAAGGTGAATATGTCTAAAGGTTGACATTAAGCCCACGGCAATTAAGATTCCCTACCAACCATTTCTGAAAAATTGTAGGGTTGAAAATTTTTTTTAAAAAAGGGTGGGGTTTTTTTTTAAAAAAAATTGCCGTGAGGATAATTAAAACCGCATAAATTCATTTTATTTTGTTTGATTCACGTTAGATACTTACAATCTGTAATATTTAAAAAATCATCATTACAAAATCTGTGTAAATAACTTATATGAATGAGTTTAATTAGAAGTTAGTTCAAAGATACCAGTATTGTAAGGGCGTAAACAAATTTAATAAACTGAGAAAAAAGTATTGTAAATATGTCAAAGAACATTCTACAACATTGATTGTAATAAGAGTTCAAACGGCCAGAAACTAATGATTACATAATTAATAAACGCTGATAAGAATAAAATGAGTAAAGCTTAGTTAATAAGATAAGACTACAAATCTGGAAGACAGTCGAAATAAAAAGACTTAATGATTGGAAGATTCTTTTATACAATGAAGGAGTAATTCACTTGATATTGTTTTATTTGAATCTTCCCATTGATGTTTTAGGACTGAAGTTGATCAGTCTCTTATTGGCATGTGTGCATACTGTGCGTATGCCTCGATATTGCCTTAATTTACAAGCATTATAAGCATTATAAACGGTACTGAGTTCGAGTCCCAGAGTGAACATCAACTCTGAGATGCAGGTACATTCAGCTGACGAGTCCCAAACAGGACGAAACGCGCGTCCTAGATTCCACTGCTAGCCACTATCCATCTCTGCTTAATGAAGGAGTATTTGTCACTCAGACAAAGAAAGATTAATAATCATCACCTTCTCAACAAATGAATGAGGTTTTTGACACTTGATAGCAACGGTCGAAATCTAAATGTCATATATGATTCTGTGAATACCTGTTTTTTGTACATAAAATAATCTTCGAACTACAGCTTCTCCCATAATTTCAACCTTCGATTTTTTGTTTGATGTCTGAGACTAAAAGACTTTGTGAGACTAAGGAGCAGTTAAGACGGTAGCATAATATTCTAAGATAACAATGATCATAACTATGTTATATATTTAGTGCAATATCGTGCGAAAAGTATGATCATATATGCATATACTTGTTAAGCACACTTATATATGAAAAATTAAATGTCAATCATACAAACGGAATGCAAGAAAAAATAAGGTTAATAAATAAAATAATGTGAAGCTCACCACAATGGATTATAAGTCGATATTACCAGAATAGATTTAGGCTGAGAACAAACGGTTGTTAAATGCATAAAAAGGTGTTTGAGTTTTTCTATGAACAATGTTTCAATAAACTATAGTATAATGCTCTTAACAAGTATATGTGTAATCAAATTGTTCAGAATATATTACGCTAATATATAACACATAGTTCTGATACTCTTCATCTCCATACCTATTAATTTTAAATGAATATGTATATTTTTTAATAGTTGAATTCATCAAAGTTAAACCACCTTGGAAACCCTGAAGGCGCTGGACGGCCGTTTCATTCTAGTATAAGACTAACAGTGCGGAATCGTAGATGAGCACCGTTGAGGAGTTTCATACTAGCTTCAATTGACTCATAAATTCAACTATTAAAAATTACTATAATATTAACAAGACCCCTTTTCGATTATCTATATATTTCTTAATCATAGATAATCATTTTTAACTCAAATATTTAGAGTCGATTACGTAATACTTCTATGATATCTATCAATAGAAGGTTGTCAGTAGTTGAAGTGAATCAATTAATTGTATTGAATTCATATTTTATTGTGTTTTAAATATTACTCTGGCTTCATTCAATTCCATAAATAGGAACCAATAGTAGTATGAATAACAGCTTTTAAACGCTTAATATGTATTTATACATAGTCAATCAAGTTGATTCAAATAGTGATTTTATGGAACATGATGGATAATTTTAAAGGCTTTATTCGGTTGAACTTGATGACCTATGTCCACCAACTGACCGAGAATAGAACTCTTGATCACATCCACTTGTCCTTTGCTCAACCAAAATAGATGGCTTTCTCCTATGCGATGACGGACCTGTCGAATTGTACGACTGATACAACTGACTCTTACATAACTACTATAACCCTAACCTCTCATTAAAATATTTAGCTAGTTTCTTCTTTTTCATATATATTATGCAACATAGCAACTGCTTAATTTCCGAATAATTAATTTGATTATTATAATTCTCTTCCTCCCGATTGCTCGATGTGTCATTATGTAATTATTACGTAAAGTAGCTACTCGATGAGTGTTATTTCATTGTTGTAAATCATATATATATATATATATTAGTGTAGAGCCATGATGAAGAACTAATTGAAAAGAAATTTTTTCGTTCGACTCATTCCTTCTTCTTTTGTTTTTACGAAATGTCAAAATGGGAATTTTCATTTTTCCCATTTCATTCAATAGGATGAAAATTTTGCTAAAAAGTATTTAATATGAAAATGTTACTCTTCTCATTCATTGAAATGATAAAAGTATTAGTTCAACCATGAGATTGATCATATGTAGACATTCAACTAAAATAACGTGATTATGAGATGCTTGTTAATTAAATTTGATGTTGTCTAATATTATTAGTAAGGGATTGAATGATTCGGTTATTGATAGTGAGGACTGAATTTAGATCAGTCTTTGTTGGTTTATGTACATTTTATGAAGATTACTTTAATATAGCTATTCTGTTACAAGTTTTTTCTATTGAATAGATAGACTGTAAGTAGTAGTGAAATCCACTGAGGGGTGTTTTTTCCTATCTTGGACTAATCAGTTGGTTATATTTGTTTCCCACTGTTAATGTTCACGTTAAAAGTTAATGGATAATGTGTCGTTGTTTGAAGCGAAATGTATTGTGTTCAAGTATACATGTAAATTTCAACACTGGAATACATGTACAATCAGCTGACAACTCCCAAAAAAAAGGATGAAATGCAAGTCCTGTATCCCAGTAAAAAAAAACATTTGGTCTCATGTCTTGATCAATCATTATTTTCTTTATTCAAAAATAAAATATATTTGATTTATTTTCGGTACAAAAGGTTGTCTACAACATAAAAGAAAAAAGCGAAATTATACAAACAACTAATTAACTTGACTTTTGTTCTTTTCACCACTAGTGAAAACAAAAAAACAACAACTAGTCAATTGGTCTATTTTTAATATAATTTCAACATTGTCAATGATATTCAATGTCTAATTTTATTGTAGAATTTTTGTTCAAATGCGTAAGGAGATAATTCCATATTCCAAGTTGTTCATTTTCCTCACATCTCTGTTGTCATGACTTCTGCTAGAATATATATATATAAAGAGAACTTAGTAGAAAATATTTATTTTTGTCTTTCTTTGTAAAAAGGCGGCAATTTCCATGCTAAGATAAACATAGAACTGTTATTTAACCACTGAAAATGAATTGTATAATAATAATAATAATTTATATATTATGAAAAATAATAATAATTACAGAATTCACGCCAGTTTACAAGCATGATCAATTTGATATAAGTAATAAAGGTAGACATGCAGAACAAACATGTGATAAAAGAAAATTTTAAGTATACTAGTTCAGTAGTTGTTTAAGTAGTACATATATTACAGCGATCCAAAGCATTATCCGGGAATTTTTAATATTTCTTAAATGGACAGCCTGTTGATTTATGAACGGTGTTATTAAGGTCAATTCGTGTGCCAGATCGAAATGATGATAATTATCTACAACTAGAGAAATTAAAACGAAAACAGAGAGCACGGAACAACAAAAAAGTAATTACCAAAATATATTGATCAGGTCTACCTAAATGCGTGTATCATGTGACACAGTGATATACTGTTTGTGTTATTCAAATTAGTTAAAGTTGCTAGGGGCGGTGTTGACATATTGACAGCAAGTGGGCGGTTTTACTAAGGGGATTCACTAATAAAGATGGTTAAACATTTAAGGTTCCTAAAATATCACTTGTGGAATGAGATACACTTAAAGGCGCTAGACCATTCAATGCATTTTCAGAAGAACAGTATGCATCGATGCAGCGAACAAATAATTGGAGTGATTTTATCGTGCGGATAGATTGTGGTAGGTTATTCCAGAGTCTAGAAAATTTACAGGTGAAGTAATTCATATAAAGAGATGATTTAGAAGGAGTTTGTTTCACTAGTGCCAAAGAATTACGGATGTCATAATGAAAAACAACACTTACCATAAGTCGTATGCATACGTATATATATGTATAAAGAGATTGTGGTTGTTATACTGATAGTAATAATAATGATCGTAATGATAATAGTATTCTTTTATTATAATTTCCTCTCTCTAAAATACATTTATATTCCATTGTTTTAATTACAAGATAAATACGTTGATTGAATTCAAAATCAGTAATATAACACACATAGATATGAAATGACATTACACTGCAATGATGAAGTTGTGTGTGAGAATCGTTTTTTTTTTTGGGGGGGGGGGCGGTTATTACCATATATTATATTATTGCTTTAATATTTTTTTTCTTTGAAGGTGATATTTTTTCCCCAGTTTACAATTTTACAATCAGATTCTTAATTCAAATATGCATTATTTTGTTAAGATTAATGATATCAGTTCTGAGAGTTTTCAGTGCTATCAAATTAGAATGAAACATCTGTTCAATGTTCACCTATCACCTACCATGGATACCTAACATTGGTTAAAATCAACTGATCACAGTTTTTCATTTGTGCTCTGGGAGTTTCAATTTGAAGATAGTGAATATATGATTAATGCCTGAATAGAAGGTTCTATGGAGATTAGAGTAGTGTAAATCACAAACTAATTTTAACTAAACCACCAATGAGAGCTTGGAAACACTGGATAACCTATATCTATGGATCATTTTCTATGATATAATAAAAGTTTTTTCATCTGAATTCTTTTCTTAATTTTAATAACGTTCAAACATATCAACTGATAAGCTTAATATAGGAATAAACAACTGTAATTGAAACACAATTTTGTTGTCATTAAATTATCATAATGAAATTACTATTTCAGTAGTTAGCTTTATTATTATTATTACCGTTACTGTTATTGTTTTCCCTACAATTGTTCTTTTCCAGTTGTTTCAATGATAACTACAACAATGTCAACGGTAACTTCATCTCCAAGATTGTGTTATTCGTCTTCTTCTCCAAATATTTCATTTGATCAGTTTACAATTAATATTCATGTTGATAAATTAAAGGAATCTGATCAATGTACAATTAATGGTGAACATAATACAGAAACATTTAAGAAAATATTAAATGATATTCCAAAATCATCATCATTATCGCCTTCCTGCTCATCATTTACTTCGCTGTCATCATCATCATCGTCATCATCATCATCATCGTCATCATCATCATCATCGTCATCATCATCATCATCATCATCGTCATCATCTGTATTAACTATCGATTCATCAATAAATCTCTCTACATGTTCATCTGATACATTATGGTCCAATTCAAAATCAACAGCAATACATAATATTGCAAATGTTGATAAATTAAAACAATTAAGAATTGATATTCAAGATTCAAGATATGAAGATGATGAAAATCAAAAAGAGGTGAATTTTCCATTTGTATGTTTGCATGTATATATATGTTCTTAGAAAATTGTTCCTCATTAGCTTAATTTCAAATGTAGTATTGTTTTCACCCTTTTTTAATATTCATCAAGACTTATTTTATTTTATTCCCAAATCAAGGTTATATATTAACACTTTTCTTTTTTCTTTAACATGGGAAGGTATTATTATTAACATAATAATAATAATAATACTAATACTACTAATAATAATAAAATAACCAAACATACTTAATACCTCAGTGCGTAAATTATAAACTTTCGGATGATACATGATCTAGTATAAGTCACTTCACGAAAGAATAAATAAGCAATTAAATTAAATTAATAAAAATTTCAGAATTACAAAGAAGTAAAACAAAATTCGAGATGGTGGAGAAGATTTGTAGCTCAGGTGGATGATTTTGGTGGAGTTTTGTTCTCTGACCAAACCATCCAGCTCAGAGAACAAAACTCCACCTAAAACAAAATTGTTATTAAAATTAAAATAAGTCTGATTATGTTGATGTTATGTTATTTGGGTCAGTGATGAGATGTACATTTGTGTATTCGTATACATTAGAGTAGGCGTCAGAAATGTGTTTATTGTACAGTGAAAGTTTAGATCTAATTTGTACGTGTTAATGGTATACGATTTGAGCATGTTAATAAATGGTGAACATTCTTAAGTTCACTTCAGCGTCGCTCAAAGGTCGTCCATAATTTATGGTCATACCATGGTAACAGAAAAGATTAGTTACGAAGGTAAAAATGAAGAAAATCTAAATTAGTGAAATAAAGAAGTATAAGTAACTCAGTAGCTTAGAATCTCAGCTATGACATGATGAACTCATCTCCGCTACTGCAAACGATTTTGTGCCATGTCATTCAAAGTCTCTAACCACTGATTATGATGACCACGCGGATCCGAACCAATCAGTTTAGACTTGTTAGTATGGCTCAGTCCGATTTTCAGTGACTTCATGGACCGATGATATTTTTTTCCAACCTACTCCTACATCAAAGAGTATTGCCCGTCATAGTAGGTGGTGATTGTGCATACATCTCTCAACCGTTCAAGTCGACGGAGATTTACTACTTCATCAATTGATTCACCATCTTTACCTAGTACTCCATTCTTAACCCAGGGATTGGTAACTCAGTGGTTTCCAAATAAAGGAGTAACGATTCTAAGATATCTATTTGAGGTACCATTGAGGAGCACTAGGCAAGTGTTTCGTCCTCTCATGATAGAATGAGATATGTAGGATAGATATAGCCAAATGAAATTTAATTACGTGGATTACTCTTTCGATATTATATATATAATCAGAAATAGTAAATTGAATTCAACTTGGCGACAATATATTGATTTACATTCCAGGTAGTTATCTATGATTTATGTTCCTGTGAGCAATAAATCTATCAGTCTTTTCAATTTATAATAGATAGATTAAGAGTTCAACTACTTACTGTACTATTGGGGTTAAATACCTGAATTATCGATTCATACATTACTATCTTGAAGATGATCAAACTCAATGACCTAGATATATAAACCTTAAAATATCTAAGCATTTAGCATCTGATAAACGTTATAGTTAATACAAGTTAATGAATACCAACCGAATTCTCTATTTGAGCTCCAAAGTTTCTTCAAACGTCTAATCAATCACGGTATCTTTACTTATTTAAGTATGCATAGAACTATCCAGACTTTATCATTTAGGGCTAAACTAAGTTGCTTTTATTAGTATTCTTAGTTTTTTCCATAGCTGATCTTTTCAGTCATGTATGATGTGAGTTTTGAATGTTTAGTCAAACAAATAAAAAACAATTTCCATTTACTTCTAGGTAAATTCATTTGTAGTCCCTAGTGTCCTATCGCCTTATTCTCCAATTCAACCAACACCTCCATGTTCTCCGAATTTCTCATCCTCTACATCTTTATCACCTTCATCAACTATTACACTTCCTCAGAATGGATCTAAAAGTTTTAAAAGTCAACAACAACATCAACAATCTACTTCAATGATGAATTCATGTTATAATAGAGATGAAACTTCAGGAGGATCGATCAATAATCGACCACCTACACCAGATATTCGGCGTAGTGAATTGGATTTAGCAGATTTATCCGATGGAACAAGAGTGTTAGTTATACAAGATACTTATCTACGTGCTGGTACTTTATATTTAGGAAAAGGTATGTTTAATACTGCTATATAACAGTTGGGTTCAAATCTTTTATTAATATGCATAGAAAAATGTTATTCTAAGTCATATATCCTATTCGTTTAACTGATTAATACAATATCTTCTAACTACCGAAATTGATGTCGCCTCAATCTGTGTTACACTTTGAATCAACTAACTCGAAAAAAAGTTGAATGGTGAAACTATTGCTTGCATGAAATTGCCTCGCTAAAAACGCTAACCAGTAAAAGCAGCAAGCAGCAGATTTAATGAAACGTATAACTGAGATCATGAACCGATCAATGTTAGACCGCCATCGGAAATCTTGAAGCATTGAAAGGTCGTTTCGTTCTGGCATGAAACTTCTCAGAAATGCCTATCACAATCCCGAAAACACAGGATTTGAACAAAAGACCTCTGGCCTTGCGCTCGATTTCTCGACCTGTAAACCACTGAGCTTGCATCCAACGGTGTTAGTGTCTAACTTGTGCGGGATCATAAATGTGCACTGCTGAGGATTCTCATGCCAGAATGAAACGAGCACCCAATACTTCTAGATTTTCACTGGTGGTCTAACAATGATCGGTTCATGATCTCAATTAAAACTCAGTAATTTCCACAACCTTACATTGAAACGTGCAATATTAATGAAGTGTCCTTTTTTAATGTATACTGCTCACAATAGTAGGTTGTTAACGTGTTTGAGTATTACTTACTGGTGACTACTGATAAGTTACATTAAACTTTTATACTAAACACTACATTATATCTCAAATAAAAGAGAATTGTAGGTAAAGATATATATATGATAATAATCTATTTCAGTAATATTATTGTGTCTGTTATTTTCATCTATTTTCAAGTACTTTAACATAAACTCTATCAATTGATAAGAGGATAAGAAATCCAATGAAATTTGAAACTATTTGCAGATATACACTTTATTCCCTAAATAGGTATCTGTAAATTACTTAAATATTAACTAAATGTCAATGGTTACAATTCCATGAATAACTACACATTTATATAAACTATTTTAATGAATGTATTGATGATACTGTGGTGTGTGCTACTTATGTCGACATAAATAGTATATAAAGCTAGTCAGGAATAGAATGTCTGACAACAGAAAGTTGAGAAGATCGAGGAGGAAAGAATAAAAACAGAAAGCAATTAGTATGGAAATGCGGGCACAATAAAATCTGAGACAATTAATGAACATTTTGTAAATAAATTATTGAAGTATGATTTCTCTATTTTATCAAGCAACTTTTTAATTTTGTGCGAAATATAATTGACTATCCTCAGCTGTGTTCTCCTTCAGTACAATATCACCACTAAATCGATAGAACTTAATTACAATGGAGGGAATAAAACACTAATTGGTTCCCTGACGACTTATTTTCGTATTAAAAAAGATCACTTATCTTCATTTTCTAATTTTGGTGTAATTTGGATTAAGGACTTCATTTTAATATATTCTAGTGCTTATCTGGTATTTAGTCTTTGTTTACCCTGGACATTTCTATAATAGACAGCTTTGGATTATATCAATTTGTATCATCCACATAATAAGTTACTAAATCGGAAGAAAATACAATTACTACAATTTGTGGATTTGAAGTGATTTATTTCCTGCTTACAAAAATATGACTCATATCTAAATATTGGTTAGTTGTTCCATTGTGTATTCTGAAAATTTTCATATCCATAAAAGATGCCAGTAAATGACTTTACAATAGGGTCATACCACTAAATCTTCATGTTGATCTTGTCTAGATTGGAATACTTTCAGTTCTCGTATCAATGTCTTTCATAATCAATTATAAACTCTTAACAGTTATGTACTACCCTTACTATCCTTAACCAATTTTTTAAGCTAAAACACATAATCTTACTGGGCTAATTCATATTGTTCCCCAGCTCTATGTTAATTATGACTGACTAATTGAAACATCTCATTAGAATATCAGATAAAATCATTTTATGAGCCAGATCAAGAGTTTCAGTAAAAATTTACTTTACCATGACATAAACTTAAAAGTTCTCTTTTCTTTCATGATTTATTTTAAATATGTTACTTTTAAATTTGTAGATAGTCCTTCATTAATCAATCGAATTAGTTTTAATAATGATCATCTACGTGATCAAATATTTCGTATACATTTAGATACTGAGAAATGTACTAGTTCAACTAAATCACATATTAATAATTATAATCGTTTTACATCACCATCATCTAATCATATGAATAATCAAGTTGTATCATATTCAACTTATCGACAATTATCTTCTTCATCATCATCTTCTTCATCATCAGCATCGTCATCTTCAAGTAATAATAATTGTAGACTGTTTAGTAAAAATAGAAGACGTCAAATGGATTTATTATTGTATGGATGGCAAGTAGTACAACAGGCAGTTTTAGAAGTATTTCCTGCTTCAATACGACATGTTCCACCTGGAACACGTGTTTGTGCTGCATGGAGTGAACAGCTAGGTGTTAATCTTTATCCAGGAACCGTTGTAAAAAGTAAGTTTATTCATTATTAGTAATATTTATTGTTTAATCTTTTCAAATGTTACAAGATTTTATGCAAACTGAGGTTTACTTTCAATTTGATTTAGTTTCTAATGTTTAACATTAAATGATCATAAGTTATTGAAAAAGGAAATAAATTATTGACGAACCATTATCAGGAACAGAGATTGAAGACTATGTTCTAATCACGAATTCAATGAGTTAGAAAATGTTGGACTATTGAACTTCTTCTAATGTGAACATTTCCCTTGTTATGATATCTTGAGAGTTTTGAATTTAATTTTTTTATGGAGTCTTGTGTTTTTACTGTTTAAAAGTAGTTAATTGATGTAAAAGAGGTGTTCCAGTGCTTTTCAGGTTTTTAGTGATTTCCATAAAACAGCAGTCTTCCTTACCCATAATTACTGTCAAATTTATAACAACCAAATGGTATACGCTTCCCTTCTATTTTCGATTGTATGTATCAGGTATTAAAATAAAAATGTCATAAATTTGAGTTCATACCATTTTGCTATTGCTACCGGTCTTGTTATACTTCAAGTAAACCAGTTGTTGATTCACTTTATGATTATCAGATCAAATCTCATTAAAATATTCCAAATTCAATTAATTGTGCTCGTTCATAATTTCAAAAGAGGAGTTCTATTACTTTACTTTACTTACTTACTTACGCCTGTTACTCCCAATGGAGCATAGGCCGCCGACCAGCATTCTCCAACCCACTCTGTCTTAGGCCTTTTCTATTACTAACATTTAAATTTCTAAATGTCTATTGTTAATGTGTAAGTTAATGCTTATTATGATAAAATGTTTTAGAAACTCTAAAATATTTACATTCATCACTTGTAATATTTATGTAGTTTCGTATAATTTGGAGCTAATCTACAACAACAAAAAAGCCTTGAATCAATTTCATATTGTTCTTTTAGCACACTCATCAGTAAAGTGTACTTTAATTGATTGTATAGGCTAACTTCCTTGTAACTAACTTGAATTTAAGTTACTCAGCTATTTAACATAAAGATTTAATCATCTAGTTATAAATGTCTTAACATTTTTTGGCACATTATTCATAGATTTTTCGAGTATTTCTTCTAATCGATAATATTCATTGTAAATTTTTAACTACTTAACATCAATTAATTTAGTAGTCAGATTATTATATTTATTCAATTACTTAGTTATATTTTTGATTGAAATCATGAACCGATTGATGTTAGACCATCACAATTGAAAACCTGGAAGCACTGGACGGCCGTTTCGTCCCATTGTGGGACTTCTCAGCAGTGCGCATCCACGATCCCGCCCGCGGGATTCGAACCCATGGCCTTCGGTCTCGCGTGCGAACACCTAACCAACTGGATCATTGAGCCGGCATCTAATGGTGATAGTTTCTAACATCAATTAATCCACGAAATTGCGCGACCAACTTCATGATCTCAATCAAAATACTTAGTTATATGTTAATTAATCCTTCGTTAATTAATATTTATAGTTAATTAAGAACTATTGAGAATAAAACGAGTACTATAAAACTATTTCGTTCTGATTAAAATCTCCTCAAAGGTACTCTTATTCAATATCCTCTATATTACTAGAAATCAATGAACTTGAAAATCTTACAGTGATTAAGATATTTCTAATTTATTGAGCTATTTTTAATGTTCAATTTCTATCATTTAGTGATATAATTTAAGTAGAATTAGTGAAGTAGAAAATGAGAAAGTGATATCATATATATACAGTAAGATTTAAATATATATATAGCTTAATTCTATGTAAAATTGTAAGTGAACACCTCTAAGGTATCTCTAACAAGAATAAAGTAATTATTCAACACTTTTTTGGGGTTTTTACTAATTTTTCTTTAGGTCAATATACACAATGAAATTGACATGTAAACTACAAAATTACTGAATTATATTTTGATTAAGTTTTAATAAGACATGTGATTACTATTCTCTTTATTATTTACATTTTTTTTTGTTCTAGTTGATTCAAATGAACAACAACATATCAATAATGATTGTGTTCCAGTTGATTTTGATGACGGAGATCATCGTCAAGTACCATTAACTGATCTACGTATTCTACCGGATTATTTTACAAATTTATGTGAATTAATTAATATCACTGGTGAAAATAATATAAATTGTTTAACTCATTGTCTTATCTCATCGGATTATTTGTCACTACGTCATAATAATAATAATAATAATAATAATAATAATAATAATAATAATAATAATAATAATGATAAATTTGTGTCACGTATGCGTCGTCATAGTGATCTGGATCATAACACATCTAGATCATATCGTTCATGGTCTCAATCAAGTAAGCTAAATGATACAATATAACAATTTTTAAAAAAAACGGTTTTTAATCTATTATTAAAACTTTTTAAGGAATTTATCAAGGTTAGTAAAGTTAAGGTTAATAAAATAAATATTTTTTCTTAAGTTTACTGCATCTGTAGACATTCTTCTACATATACATAAATGTGATGTGTTCGAGTCTTGATGTGAGCATTAACACTGGAAGTGTATCTAGCTGGTAAATCGTAAATATGATTAAACGTGAATCCTGGCTTCTACTACTAGTCATTGTCTTTCTATTCTGAATAAATTATAACATGATGATTACATGGAAGTTATCCAAAAAGCGTGTACTAGTGTCACTTAAGATTAATTGAAATCCAGTTATGAATATCGACGACTGGATAACAATCAACTGTCACTAAAATGTTTAGCCAATATAAAAAATATTAACATATTTGACAGTTAAGTACTGAATAGTAAATTGTTTACAAACTGTAACAACATTTTACAGTGTCAATGGAGTTTTGATTAATAATTAAAATGATAGTCATTGAAAAATGGAGATATTTTGTTAATGTGAAGGCAGCCAATTTTATGAAGCAAATCGCAAAGCTAAAAATCTTTATAGCATAAGAGTAATTTGAACGGGAACTAATGGTGGCCGAACCAAACCTTGCATCAGTCTGTAAAGTTACTGGTTTTTGATCTAGGCCTTGTTGGTAGATGCCAACTAGCTGGTTGAGACTCACTCAATAACTGCTGTCATTGGTTAGAGAAGTTGGATGAAACAGCTCTGGACTAACCAGATTGGGACAGATACATTTAGTCTTTGTCTTACTCTAAATATTGAGTTCCAGTATTGTGTCACACGTACCCTTTCACTGTCTTTTGGGATCATATCCCCAATGTTTGGTTTTTCTTATCATTGCTGCTACGTTAAATAGACTTTTCCGCTATTCATCTTGTTTATTTTCTCTGATTATCGTAATGTGATGTGTTAACTCGGGTTGACTCATATATGCGCAAGACTCCATGTTGATTACGACTGACCAACTCTATGCATGATCCTAATTTCTCCTCCCTTGTGTGGAAACTTTGTATTTTGATAGCGAAAATAAATTATATAGGGTTAGATCTACTGACTAAAGGGGGGTAATTTAGCGTAATGATAGGATTGTAGACGATCATTGATGAATGCACAGGCTTAGTGTCTTATCTTCAGTAAGAAAATTCATGAAACTACAATTTTTGTGCGATTATCAGCTGAAATAAGAAAACCATCAATGTCACATCGACTCATAGTAGTTGATGCTTAGTCATAGTAATTGGTGGTTATTTTAGCTCACAACTGACAACCTTATTGAATAAATTGTGTAAATTAGTTAAACTTCTGAAAGTGTGACTTACCTATCCATATCATTGAAATATCAGCCCAAATTGGCTCATGAATACAATCCCTGATTTCATACAGTAACTATTTTTAAACTTCACGTATATTTTACATACTAAAATACACTTTCTAAACTTAGTAGCAGGTGATCTAATTTTCATTTGAAATGTACCTTTTACTACTTACAAGTAGTGTCACATGTTTTGCTAAATTTATTTCATTGTCGGTTTTTTTATTTTTAGCATCTCCACTTATTCATGATACTATGTCCTTGTGTTCACCACAAATGAACACAAACTTAATGTTAAACTCAAAGTTTTTCTTTCCTGAAAAGAATTCAAATAAACTAACACATCGTATCAAAAGTAATCGAAGTAGAAAAAATTCTCAATTATCTTCATCAAGTTCAAATAGAACAATGGAGTGTACTGTAAATTCACTGATATCACCTACACATACAATATCAACGGGTGCTACATCAGTCATGTCATTAAGATCACCGTCACCACCTCCACCATTACAAACACCAGTGACAATAGCTGGTTTTAGTCATATGTCAAGTGATAAGTACATGAGTGAATGTCCTGACAATAATAATAATGATAATAATATTAATAATAAGTCAGAAAAGGTAATTTATCCATTGAATAATCATCTACCCGAAGAATTTAATGCGGATAACATTTCCATTTCAAGTACAATCACAACAACCGATAGTTCAAATGAGTGTTTATCCTGGCAAGTGTACGAAAAGGTAATAGAATTTTTTTTAAATTACACATCAGACGTAAGATTTTCAAGTTATTTTGTGTATACACTTAGACCTTTCTATAAATAGTAACCAGCCAATTAATTGTGAAAGGTAACACTGTAACGTACTTATTCAGATGCTTGATTTTCGACTATTAGACCAGAGATTCTGCTAGTTGACTAAATGTGGAAGCGATTATTAAAATACTAGGGTTTCAACTAATACGTTCCTGTATGGGTGTTAGGCGGTGACCCACCGAAAACAAGTGGGGATGGTCGTCTTGGGTTCGAGTACTGCGCGCGGGGTCGTAGATGCTCACTGGTGAGGATTTTTCATACTAGAACGGAACGACCGTCCAGTTCTTCCAGGTTCTCGATGGTTGTCTAACATCGATCAGTTCATGATTCCAATAATACGTCCCTATTTCTACCTTCACTCCATCTACTCATGTTCGAAATCTGATGTACTAACACTAAGACAAATAACTAGATAATATCACTGGCTGTCTTAGAGGAATTATGGCTCCAAGTAAAGTGAATTAACCTGTACTTGGTCATTCAATTACAAGCATAAGTATGTATCAAATCATAATAATAGTATATTATGAAGTATAAAATCGTTGATCTGAGGATTGTAACAGTGTTTGAACTGATTAGAATGCCAGATTGAAGCTGTCAACTTACTGCTTGGAGTCCTCTGACCTTTTCTTCTGCTATTTTATCAATATTCTCTTATATAAATTCGATTATCTATTTAAAACGGTTTTTCATTTTAACTAATGACAATCAAAATTTCTTTAGTTTTGAAAATTTTTTAATTTTGATTACTAGACTGAATGAAGCTAACTCATAAGTATGATTAGTTTTGTCATCACAAAACATGGACAACTCTTGGACAAAAATAGAATTCTACTATTATATGGAGACCTAAATGAGGTAACTAAGGTGATACGCAGATTGAGATACCCTCTATCTAAGAGAAGCTAGTGTTGAAGGCATGAGATCAATCGACAGAAAGTTTGAGCTTTATGTTTAGTAGTATTTACCTTCAACCTTGACGACACTTATGATGTCTTAAGTATTACTGGTTGACGACTGAATTCCTCCTATCTAGGAACATATTGTGGTGAATTGACATACTTATATCTCAGGCTTAACTTGAGTCAGTTATGTGATGATTAGCTTAGCTGATAGCCATATTTTACTGCAACTTTAAATAATACAGTTTCTTACCTCCAACGAAGCAAGAGTTCCGTTTAAAGCTGGAGATCCACCTTGTTGGTGAGTTTCCCGATGGATTTATGAATCATCATTGAGTGGGGTATATGAGGTATTTCATTTTTACAGGTGTTTCTGATTGTTTATTGATATGGAGAGCCAATCAGAGGTTAAGAAAGAAAGATGTCATAATGGGTGTATTCCGTTTATTAAAAAAGTTCCAATCAGAGGTAGCGAAAGGTCAATCAACGGCAGTCGGAAGTGACCTAAAATTCAAGTGCATTTCATTGGGATCAGTTTCCTAAGGATAGAGTGACATATACATGAACGAGTATTTGTTCATTTCATTCTTTAGTCCAATACACTTTTCCGCTCAAGTAGTCAGTTGGTGAGTTAGTGCGTAGCATACCTTGTGTCAGTATCAGATTTCATACGCTGCATGTCACAAAACTTATATATGAATTTATAAATGACTATAGAATTACATCTTCCTGTAACGAACTTCTACTAATCGATTGACGTTAAGCGATAGATTATAGTGTACATGTTTCACAACGAATCAAATATTCAACGTTAATATAGTTTACCTACTTCCTTTATCGTGTTACATTAGTCCGTCAACGTAATGTATATGACCTAGGACATGTCTTTCAAAAAATTGTAAAAGTGATCAGAATGAGTAGTGAGGTTATCCGTAATGTTTACATGTTTACTAAGTGTCATTTTTCATCAAAGATTTCATTTCAAAGTCTAACGATACTTGTATTTTTATCCGGCATGTCGGACTGTACTACATAGTTACGAATAACTGTAACCCATTTTTCAAAATGAAAAGAACTGTATTGCGTTCAGAGACACTGAAATCCCAACCACATATCCTGATTAAGTCAACCCTCGATATATTGATTATCCAGATTAAAACACACGTATATATGCACTTTCTGCACATTTGATTTAATAGATAAAAATAACTAATTGTGGATGTGTAGATCATGCTTTACTTGATCTTGGCTTTCATGTTTTAAAACAGTTTAAGCGTCGGAAACAAGGCTGTATATACTGTCGTTCAATAATACGTGATGTAGATGGTTTAATCGTTAAAGTTGGTGATTGTGTACAATTTGGCTCTGGGCGCAATGAAATATATCTTGGAGAGGTTAAAGAAATACGTTGGGAGCAAAAAAGGAATTCACTTATTGTTGTCGCTGCATGGTAATTACTATTATTTTCTTGTTGTGAAATTCCACATATAAATAAAAGTTATACCACAGCTTTCGATCGTGAAGAAAAACTCCTGATCTCACGACCAATAAGAGCCCATGTATTTGCGTTTTGTGTTCAAAAATAGTTGGCAGAGAACTTCCACTCTGATTATGGTAATTTTCATCATAGACTAACGACTTCAAATAGAGAAAGATACCGACGACCATATGAGGGTTATAATCCGGGACCTCGAAATATCGTGGCAAATTCATTATCTCTGAACTGTTAATTCAGTCAGTTACGTCATAATCAACGAAGAGCATGGTGCAAACGTAAGGTGACCCAAGTTGTCATGCAACATCAGAACAACAAAGCGGAATCAACAAGATATGGTTCGAGAATATGGCTCGAACCGACAATGTGAGATATATAAAGTAATAATGGAACTCCATGTTTAGATTAAGATGAGGACCGAATGTTTTTAAGCTATGTATTCCAAAGTCTTAAACCACCAATTGCGGTTATCACATCGACTGTTGAGCCAATACTTCCAAACTATAACGAAACAGTTATGTCGTATTCCCTAGTTTTAAATTGTTTCTCAACTGATTTCAGTTCATGAGAAAACTATCTCTAGTTTGAACTGACTGATTTCCCGAGGTAATTCTCGTAGTTCAAGTGAAAAGCCGTGACCAGTGGAGTTCAACCATGTCGAACAGGAGTCAGTTCCAAACCAACAACATTGAAAGATGGTTCAGCAACGCCAGGAATAGTTCGAAGTCGAACATCCCCGGTCAGTGATCTATAGATTAAGCACTACCCGCTTGACCTGAAAGCTCTGTGTTCGATCCCCGTTGGGGTCATGAATGAGCAATAGTGAAGAGACTCACACCAGTACCTCATGGTTCCAATAGTGTAACCAAAATTAGTCCGTGGTGTTAACCATAGAATCCAACAATTTCCCCAAACCCCACTACTTAGTAATAAGCTGACCTCTGACAGTCACTTGACTAAAACGATAACTACTTGTCATGAAGTGAATTACTTTAAAATACAGGTGATAGCTTCGTCTAAAATTACTCACCAATATTAATATCGTGCTTAATAAATGTTTGCAGACTGTATTTTGTTTGATATTTTCCAAACACTTAGCGGATGACTTTTGTCTATACCCCCATGTTGACTGTACGAAAAAGTACACTTCATTTTTCAAAACGTGATTCTTTTAAGATTACTAATTACACAAATAACTTGTTAGATTGGTAAAAAAGAATACGGTAATTCAGCAACTTTGGTTCAGCTATTGAAAGATTATATGACCAGTTATGAAAACAATCAGTGCGGATTTTTGGATAGTTCTTTTTTATAAGTATCTGTCAGTCAACAAGAGACATTCGCAATCACATCTACCTGTAATTCAAAATGAGACTGTCTATGAATTATCCATGATAATAAGGCCGTGTAGGTAACAATATCACTTATTCGTACGTATATGAATAGATCGATTTATCTTCAAAACACATGAACCCATTATTCTCAGAAATAGAGTTTATTATCACATATTCCAAATGTGACATAGAATCAATAGTAAATATAATTTCTTTATGAGATTTTTCTGCTATAGGTACTATCAACCTCTTGAAGCTGGAAAAGATGGACAATTAATACAAGATGTTAAAGGTGCCCTATTTACAACTGAACATAAAGACGAGAATGAAGCCAAGTGCATCAAGCGACGTATCAAAATAGCTAAATCATATGGTCAGTTCATGCAAGGATATTATGGCGAACCTAAAGGACAGGATCCTGTAAAGTCAAGTCAAACACAGTTAGACAAAAACATGGGAGAATTCACGCCTAATACAGATACCGAACAAGTAAGTTTCAAAATATATCTCTAAAATTGATTCCGATTTTTTCCTAAATTGCTGAAAATAATACCTAATGGGAGATTTTGCAATTTATTTGTTTATTCATTAGTGTTACTGGTCGGTTGGCGCATATATATTGGCGCTCTCTTGTACCAATATTTATGTGTTCAAATAAATAAATAATAAATACTGGTCGGTCATAAAAGTTAATGAATTTTCGACTGTCCTTAAGAGCTAAAGATCACAGTCTAATTGGTTTATACAGATACATAAATATGCCGTAAAGTTGTATATACCTTTCAGCCTTTTGAAATCTTACTTTCCAACTGTCTAGCAATGGATAGAGCCGGATGTGTCTAAGCTATTTAGCTTTCATTGTGTGAATATATAACCTATGTAAGTGCAGCTGGATAAGTAACAGGCAGAAACTCCCATCACCAATATATATATATATATATATATATATATATATATATATATATATATATATATATATATATATCGTCATTCATTACGGCTATTGTATTTGAAAAAATCGAACAAGATTTACGGACTACAGTATGATTTATATTCGATTCCTTTTAATGTCTGTTTGACATTCATCCATAATTCTCTTCATGAGTGAAGAAAATTCCTACTAAAAACTGGAATACTATGTTCCAGACATTAAATGATCTTTGAAAGTACACATATTTCTATATTAAGGTTCATTCCTATAAAATTATAAAACTAGATAAGATACTAGTTGTAATATAATTACAATAAATATCAACTTTTGTTTCTTTTTATACAACAGATCAATTTTGAAGCTTGTGAACCATTGCCATCACCATCACTAACATCAACGAGTCACAGTATCAAACATCCTTCAATCAATGAAAATGATACTAATCAACCTCCTAAACTTCAGATTACGCTAAACAATAATGACAATAAAAATGAAATTAGTTCAGATGATAATGAAGATGACGACGATGATGATGATAATAATAACTCTAATTTCTATCATTATTTTATTGCTGGTAAATATGACCCAGTTAGACAACAAGTACTTACATGGGATACAGAATTAGCTAAAATACTTAACCTCAAAACACACAAAAATAGATAACAAAAAAACTTTTCTTTTTCTCTCTCTCTCTCACACACACAAAATATCTCCAAACAAGCATTAAAACAATCAGATTGTATCGCATTTTTTCATTCCTGCAATTCTATGATATCGGTACTTGTTTTGTTCCATTTTTCTTTTGTATGTCATCTATTAAATGGTTCAGTAAACTTTCACACCGGTGTGTTCATCACCTTTTTTGTGAAGTGAATTAATCTCATAATCACCATCAAACATTCAATTTTGTGTGTATTTTTATTTTACATTATCGTGTATACCAACCTCGCCCAATCTATTTTACAACCACAAGTAACTTCTACTTACTCATATAATCCGATGATGTTTAATATGGCGTATGATTTAAGCGATATTATTTTGTTTTATTACCATGATTATTGTTAAATATGAATTTGTTTTGTGAATGCCTTCTACAACTTGATATATATCAAGTAATTGTTCTATGATTTCAGCATATTTTATCATGTGCAAAAACAAACTGTTTGGATATACGAAAGTGTTTTGTTTTCATTTGAAATGATACATATACACAGAGGGCAAGAAGTGATCAAAATGATAGTACATAACTAGTATGACAATAATATGAGTTACAAGGAGAATACTTCTTTTTTACAAATAGTTACTTTTTTTTCTACAAAGCGGATAGAAATATACGTATTGAAGATCCCGTTTTGTTAACCGGGTCTTTGTTCCATTTTTGTTTTCGGTGGTTTTAAACCGCCTATACCTTTTGATGTTTTGGACTTTTTCGCCTTGAAATCTCGCCAACTTGCAACACGATTAACACGACTTTCCTTTGAAAATAAGAAAAGAATTGTTTGAAGATAGAAAACGAAATAAACCGTAAGATATTTCCTCTTAGTTGACGTGCAAAAACATAGAAGCAAACAAGTGGTAGATATAGTTAACCTGTTGCAATATCATGGCTCTTGATAGTGAAAACTTGAACCTAGATTGAACATTAAATGTTTATCATTTTTCAATCATCTTGTTACTGACAGTTAAAACAGATATGGATTTATGCATTCAGATTAACAGGGTTTTCATCCAACCCATTAAAATTATTAGGAAAGTGAAACTTAATGAATTGAAATGAAATGATGTAATTTATGGGCTTAGTAGGGATTTATGTACTCCATTTTGAGACTGTGTGAGGGCTCGTGGTGAAATCCAGCTCCCCTAATTGGCGAAACACGGTTTGTAGCTCTGATCTATTGGTTAAAGGTTGAGTGCTTGATATGTCAACGGGCATGACTCAGAAAAGAAGCAAGTGGTGATTATGTTATTGGTTTGATTGGGTCTCTCATAGGCCATACAACTCATTTTGTAGCTAAATGAAAATTTTTTTATATGATTTCTTACTTTATTGCTCATTACCTCTATTAGCATTTTATTACATGATTTGCCGATTTTTATTTTTCCTCGCACTTGGATTTTTATTTTACGTAGGGTATATATAGAAGCTTTACAGTACCCAGCATATTTTGTTATTATTTATTCATATATAGATGCCCTGGTATGGCTGAGTGGGGTGGGCCCGGCCTCCCTCTCCAAATGCTCTCACACGGCCATGCGTATGCAGTTTCTGTCAGGGAAGTCATACTCACTGCCTTCTCGTGGAGTTGTTGTTTACGAAATTGAGAGGACGAAAAGCGAAGGTCCGGCGCTCTAACCGGGTTCCGAACCAATGGTGCACATGGGCACCAGTATCCTGAGGGAGAAAATGGCGTATGAACCAATCGTTGGTCACCGGCTACCAGGGGACTGTATCTCCTCACGATGCTCCACTGCCTTATGGGTCAGACCTTAAGGTCAAAGGCTTGGGGTGTGGCCCCCTAAGAAAACCACCTGCTTCGGTCTGGGCACCCGGGAAGTATCACAGCCCTCACACAAATCGAATGATTTATGTGGCGCATATCTATTTGGTGCCTCCTTGTACCAATGTTTATGTGTTTAAATAAATAAATAAATACATGTGTTTGACCAAAAGTATCTTTGAAGCAATGATTAGACGTAGATAGAACATAATGATGCTAGATATGCAGTACTGGTTAAAATAATGTAAATGGGCCGGTGACTTCTGCCAAGGTTTTAAAAGACAGACGGACAAACATCATCAAAATGGACCCGGGCATAACTTACGTTGACGAATTAAAAAATAATTTAGTAGCAATGATAAATAGAAAGATTAAACATTGAAATGGTTTGAAAAGGCAGTAGAACGGTATGTATGAAGGGACACTTTGTATGTACGTACATCAGCTCGAGTTGCCTTACCACATTAGCACACAGATACAATTGTCCATTCAAATCCCGTAGTGGTAGAATTAGTAAGAGTATAAGCAGTAATCCGAAAGATTAGGGTTTGAAGATGTCATTTAAGGAGTATAATCCAGTGAAATGAATTTGGAAAGAGAAAAGGACACGAAGAATTCAGGTTAGAATCTGGGAGAATACAAAGAGTGGATGCACCTGCGCCACTGCTAACGATTATGAGCCATGTTATTCAAGGTCTCTAACCGTCAGTTGCTATCGTCTCGTGGATCCCAACCAGGTAGTCTACACCTACCAACATGGCTCAGTCCACTTGAATTTGTGCCATGTTTTGGTCTGGCCGCCCCTATCTTTCTCCCAGCCTACTCCTAACCACTTCAGAGGATGAAGACTCACTGCACTGTCAAAATGCCACCTTTGTAAAATATCCTATGCCTAACTTAAACTGGTTTGAGCCATAAAGTGATATGAAAATTTTCTGGTTGGAATCTGAGAGATAACCGTAATGTGATGTAGCTCGAAATTAATCCCACTGATGTACACGTATTCATTCTTCGCTCCTAAAAAATATTGAAGTGTATTTGTTTATAGTTTCCATCTTGTTTGAGCAGGAGTCTTTTCTTCTATCTGACTTTCTATCATCGTTAGTATCATTATTTTACGTCATTCATCTTGTTCTGTTATATTTTTGTTATGCTGATTTGAAACGAAAGGAATTGGACAGACATACCTTTAAATTATCCAGTAATTTATTTCTTTTTGCCTGTCTATCATTAGGACAAAACCACTTCTTGAAATTGAGAATGTATTCGAATTAATTAAAGTAGTACTTTAACAGAATTTTAATTAAAAAGCGGTATTTCTAAATTTACTAACGGTTCTGATAAAGACCAAAGCAGTTAGTTGATATATGCAGTCATTTTTCCCATCACCAACCAATTCTATGCGAAACTAAACAGAACTATCAGGTTTGATGAACCCCGGTCCTCATTTTTTAATGTCATTACGACGATAATTTTAAAGATACGATGAAAAGTCGGTGTTTTTGAGGAGCTTTATAGGAACCATCATGGAAATACATACAAAAAAAGACGAATATACACTAACCTCATAATTCTTTTTCCACTCTTTGTCATACGCCATGAGTTTTTTTCCTTCCTCCTCCTCTTCAGCTTTGCGTTTTCTAATGAAAAATATGAGAATCGACGAAAGGAGTTACAGATGAGTGGACATAAATATTATGTGTGCATGATGAATAGACAATACCTTTAGTAGACAAGAGTAACGGATTTTCCACAGATACCTATTGATGATACCAAGTGAAAATCATACTATCCCTCAAGATCGCACGATTTAGAGGATGTGGCCAATGGACTCCTAAGCCGGGTTGGATAACGACATGCTTATTATTATACTTACTATACAAAGTTTGTGGTTTTCATTTTGATGTTGGACAATTTTTAAATGCTTTCTGAATGAAGTCGACTAAAAAATTTCAACTAAATTAGAGTGGAGCATATTAAAATTTTGAGCTAGAATATATCACAACGTAAGTCTTTATTGATTGAAGAGTAGTGTGTTATGTCTAATAGGTTCTAAACTACCAACACAATGAAAGATCAGATAGTAATTTTTCACTGTCATTGATGTTAAGATTATTCTAACTTTTTTGCTATTTACTATGGCTACATATCGTTGCCCTGAAGTATGGTAACGAGAACTGATTGGCATTATTGTGGTTCTACATCGATCATGGCCAACTGGACAGGCAGACCAAACATACGTACCATATCACAAACACCACAGTTCACAAAGGCTTGCAAACTCAACAACCATCTTCAGAATAATCTAGCCTTCATAGATATGCTCGACCACTGATTATAATATGAGGGATATCCCAAAGATATATGTAGTTAAATACTCGAATTCGAGTTACGGGACGAATCCTAGGTACTTTTGCTTAGGATATTCCAAAAACTCCATTTTGTCAAAACCCTTACCGAACAGAACTATTTTGCTGTGCGCTCGATGGACGTCTGGGTATATAAATCGTCGAAAAACAAAAATAGCTAAGTTTTCCTCTATAGATTTATAAACAAAAATTTAACTGATATATCTTAAGGCTAGTGGATAGGCAATGGAAAATCAGCTAGGTGATTTTAGAAAGTAAAAAAATAGATGAGTCAAACCTAAAGAGCGTCACCCGTCCCCCAGATAGCGCACGCAAAATTTGTTTAGATATGTGAAGTCACATAAAATTTATACAGAAGTGTGGTATTAAACCAATAAACCTCAGTGTTAGTTCTGAGAAATGTTTTCGAAGTTACACAAGATGGCGACCCATGTTTCGTGCTCGGAAATTTGGGGGAATAAATGCACACGATTAAGATAAATTCGATGAGTAAGCCAAGACTCTAGAGGGACTCCTAAATGTCATCTAGAAGCCTCTGGTATACTAGATCGTTGAATTTTCTGAAGCTTAATAGGGATATATCACTTAAGTCATATGAGATACCAGAGTAGAACCATCGATTACAGCTTAGACATACGAGCAATGTTTTTGCAAAAGTTGAGTTTTAAAAAAACAAAGTCAACAAAGACAAACCTTTCTGAACACTGTTTTTGCTCTTCTTCCACCCTTAATCTCTCAAGATCAGCGAACAGTTTGCATGTTTGCACATATATGGCATGACGCCGCTGTAACGGTTAGAAATAACGGACAAGCTACCTTTTCAGGGTCATCTTCTTCAATCGTAATAGATCCGCTTGTCTTTTTTACACGTTTTCGTTTCTCAATCATCTAGAAATGATAGACAGTAGTATGGTTGCTAATACCATTTGTTCAACAAGATCTTTCGCTTCCTCCACTACTTCTTTGCATTTGCGGGAAGTTTCGGGGTCATCCAGAGTCTTGTAAGCCTTGTTTACAGCTACTCAATTATTTCACTTAATAAAGCGAGCAATACCTTCGAAGGCTTTCTGAGATCTTTCAATATCATCTGGGTTTTTATCCGGATGTACAAGCAGAGATAGCTAGATTGGAATATAAAAAATTTGGGGATAAAACCTGTCTGTATTTCTTTTTTATATCAGCCATTGCTGCATCAGGATCCACTTGTAAAACCTAGGTTGCTTGAACAATGTTACACCAAGCATACATCATATGGATTCAAATTAAAATAAGTTGATCCAGGCCGATTGAGTCTATCTATTTGTTGCTTCGGGGTTAATACTGAATCTCGCTTCTCAATAGCCTTGACTTCTTCGTAAAAGGTTGAAAACAACTCATTAGGTCCAGGATTCGTAGACATATTGGACTCGAGTAGCACTGGATATGTATTCCCGCGTCTCTAATATTCAATACTTTTGTGGCGAATTTTCACAGGTGAAATGCTTCAATTACGCTCGCTTCTTGATGTCAGAACACGGTTCCAGGTTTTCAATATCGTCCAATGTGAGTACTCTAGCCAGTCTGTTGTACTAGTTTTACTAATTCTCTCAGTTACTTGAAAGAAGATTTGAATCCACTTTAAATGAATGTTCTAATCAAAGGATCACTAAAACCGAAAGCTATCACTTTATAGAACACTCGAGTGGTTGGCTATTCCATAGACGATTTCAGGAATGGAACAGAATTCAGTGAACGAAAAAAAGTAAATAGATAAATAGATTTAACTAGCGGCTTAACACGCAAGAAATCAGATATTTGGGCAAACAACGGGTTGGTGAAGATGGTAAGGAGCGAGGTGATATAAGGAGCTGATTAATGATAATGCGTAATGATGATGGATAAAGTCCACGACTGGCATGGAAATGCTAATAATTGCAAGGTATCTTATCCTGAGTGTACCGTCAATGGCCATCCCAAGAGAAAGATGTTAGACCATGAGCGTTGACATAAATATAAGGCTGCTGTAGACACGGAGGTTGAGGGAGTGTTCCAGACAGGTTGGGCAGTAATTAGAGCCAATGTAATCCTACACGGGTGTGGGAAGGTGTGCTTCATGGGGTGATCTTATCCGCAACGCAACCATGTAAACTTAATGTACCGGTCATCTGTGCGTTCACGTAACCACAGATTTTGACATTTCATAATGTATTTTTAATTAAATAACTAGATTATATAGCTCATTTTAATCTTTTTTTATATTTTTATTCGCCACGTTCGACTGCGTTACACTGCACGTCCATTACATGCTGGGATGATATCTCAAGTCATAGTGAGTTTATTCACATAGTTGATTGTTTCCAGATAGACAGTCAGTGCATGATTTTACTGTAGAAAGGTTTATTGTACTATAAACTATGTTTTTATGAACAACTGCCTGTTGTCTTTAGTCGGGAAGCAATATATATATTCTTTGTCTTCTGTTCGGTAAGTTCAATTGGCCTTTATTTCGTGTTTTTGTTTTATCGTCTTAATTATGTCCATTTAACTACTTTCAGCAATATGCCTGTGCAAATGAAACAATAACTATGACACTTGCTTAGTTTAGTATTCTTGGTTGTCGTATAATTCAGTTTAGTTGAAAGAATTATGGTATAGTGCTTGAAGTCTGTAACGAAACAGATCAGCCTAGTAAGTAGAGTTGCCTGTTTCTGATGAGTATACTGATTCAAATCAGTCTGATTAAAAATAGGAAAAAAGTGCTTTTGGTACTGTTGCTGTCATACATTATAAGAAAGCGATAAGTATGTTTGGTGTTTATTTCTAGATTGTACATCTATCACTGACCATATTTCATGATCACTGTCATTAAACAATTTCCCCAGCAATAACATCGGTAGCAGGATAGCTAAGTATCTGAGCTTTTATTTGCCCGTAGAAGAGCAGTATACAGTCTTAGAAGATGAGTGTTCTGTATTTCAATTAAATGCAGTTGGCTGTGGACAAATGTTAAGAATCTTTTTGACAACTAGGACTTTTAGTTCATCAAACATTAACTCTGCTTGTATGTCTCCCTGTTAAACTAGATGCAGATACATGGTAATACTTAAATGAGAGCAAAATAATAAAAGCATTGAGATACGGTATTAAGTCCATGTTATGCTTTGCACAATAAATAGCTGATCTGACCTAATATTCATGAACTAAAGGTAAATCACAACTGCATAAATTCTTTGCTAAAATACATGTAATTTGGTTATTTATCTATTCCACATTTCTGACTAAATTCATTACTGTTTTCTCATTTAGAATGCAACAGGACTGAGTCTTCACAGATGTTAAGAACTGTTTCGCCCTTAGAAATATGACCCTATGGATCTGTTTACGGGAGACCCAACTAACAGCAGATTATAAAAAGGATGCTGGATGTCCATTTTAATCTCACAACCACTTCCAGTACTTTTTGAGTTACTTCTTTTACCCTTTCGTTTGGAAAAAACAACAAAAGCTTGAGCTTAACATTACGAATGCAACTTTTAGACTGGAACTTGGTTTAAACCTTTGTTTCATATTCGATTCTTCATGAAAGTTCTCGAATAAATTTTTGAACCTAATGCTACTTTGTTTTATCTACTTAATCGTTGCAAGAAACTTGTGATAATCGAGCCTCTCATCACCTAATTCATGTGTTCAGGCTTCCGTGTCTATTAGCAGGGGATCACCAAAACCTCCAAGCAGGAACCTAGGTATGTTAACAATAAAAGATCCAGTCGCCTCCCAAATGACTCCTGGGAAGTCGCTTGGACTAGTTCGGCGGGCAGCGAATTCCAGCATTCGACAACTCTTAAGGAGTAGAAGTTGCGTCTACAGTCCATTCTGCTATGTCGTGTCTCTAGTTTCTGGGACTAAGCTCAAATAGGTGTTTAAGAAAATGTCCAGAAGTGTTAAGGATCCTGTAAGTAAATAGGCCACCTCTAAGACGTCTATACTTTAATGAGTAGAGGTTAAGTGATTGGAGGCGCTCTTCATAAGGTGATTTGGTGCATATATCCGTCACTTTCTTAGGCAACCTACAGGCTCGGGTCCTCTCACAACTTATTCTAGCCACCATGTGTTGCCACGAAAACTGATGGATGGACACGCGTTACACATCCTAACCGTCCCTGCATCTAATCTCATAGCTCCTTATTCAAATGTCATATGATAAGCAAGTAATGCTTCTACCGACACTAATGGAACACGAGTAATTCAAAGGCACCCTGTATGGTACTTTACATTGGTCTACGCACTCACTTAGCTCTTTAGTGGGAATATTACTACAGTCCTGCTAAAAAACCCATGAACCCTCCTACCACCATCAAAACAATAAGTCTGTATTTGCTGCATATAGCAATTTTATTTTTCAGAAGATATAACAGTAAGAATTGGAGTAAAATAACAATATACAACAGATGCACGTGGTACATGTCTTCATCGATCATCTGAAATAGAGAATACGGATATTAGCTTAACAGGCTTATTTAGAAAGACTAATGTTTACTTTGAACTTACTGTGTGAGAAAGTTATACTGGAACTGTGAATAATGTAGGAATCTAGTCTCCCAGGGCGTACGAAGCACTCAAACTGGAAGACAGTTGTCACAAATTAATTCGAATATGAAGTTGAGAATTTGCAAGTACTTTTCATCGTAAAGGTGAACATATTAGATAACGGTTGACATCATACCGTAAAAATAACAAATTTGCGAGTGGTGAATTATGGTCTATAAAAAGCTGAGCTTAATAACAGTTAGTTACCTTTTTACTCCCTGATCATGACCCTTCGGCTTCCTTTTGTGGCCAAAACAGCAAACATACACTACACACTGATAGCAGATTTCCGGCTTTTCAATGTTAAGCTTGCTTTAACGCACTACGTAATGCGTACAACCCCTCCATTACTGCTATGTGGCATATTTTTTCATAACAAACCCTCTGCAATAGATTGGTAGCATCTGTGAATTTGTCTATGGTTGTCGGAAGCCTGAGTACTTTCGAAAACAATACTGACATCCCCTACGGCTAGGCACTAAGTATTAGTTCGACTCATTGGTGGGATATTGTTGTCCGCAATACTGAAGAAAATTAAAAACCGGAAATTGTTTCCTTTCATTTTGCCGATAACATCATAGAGGACAGTTAGGAATGAACATGCGGACAGTCAGTCACAGGACGCAGCAACAGTTATTTCAGCTAAGAAAAAACGAACTTCGGCTTTTGATATCTTGAAAACAAGTCGAAACTAAACCGATTTTCATTTTAAAACATAAGACTAACCAGCTTGACTGAAGAAATACATTGACTAGAGTAGAAGCAGCAAAAACCCAAAAAACAATGCTGATTCGAAATAAATTTCACACCAACATGTAGAACCCTACACTAACTGCGGCATCTTAGCACATTGAAACATTAATTACACAGCTACACAAAAGAAATAGCTAAAAGAAGCACAGAACGAAGAAAGCCAGCCGCCATTACGTACAAAGATGGCGGATATAATAATTTCCGCCACATTCTGATTGGTTGCTAAGCTGAAAGGCACATTTACGAAATTGAGTTGCGTTTAATTGCAGCCTGCTTCATGTTATGTCCTTCCTAAAGCTGGGGATTAAAACAAGTGGGCTATTAATAGTCGAAGTAATCGTGAAATGACACTTGAAGTTATCACTCACACTATCCACAGGATTTATTTTACTATCCAGCATTCTTCTGAAAGGCTATGCATAAGACGCTGTTAGTGTTGCATCTGGTAAAGAGCTTTATAGTTTGAAGATTTTGGTCCCAAAATAGTTTCCATGGGCTTTTGTGAGAACTCTTTTATGTTTCGCTCTAAATGGAAATCCTCTGAGATGTAACTTCCTACCAAACTGAGTTAGTTATATTTTGGTATGAAAAGGATCATGAGATATATGATGAATCATGATTATACCCAATTCAATGATTCTGTACTGCACAAGTCGTAAGTTTAGGGCTTCAGAAGGAGCTGTCCAGGGTTCATTTATCAGTTCGAGTACATTTTTAGTTCCCTTTCTTTGAACACATTCCACGACATCATAATGCTTTCTTAGGCAGAGGATCATAATGCAACAGCTTTATCCAGATGAAGTCTTAGATAAGTGCTGAAAATAGTTTGTAAAAGGTTCGAAGTTCAGTTATCTAATGCTTATTAAAGAAACTTCAAGAAAGAATACGCTATGTATTGTGCCATTAAGAGCCACCCAAAGTATGACAGAGTGATACCCAGGTTTTCAGTAGTGGGAAGAACGTTGATAACACTCAACAAGTATGGAATGGGTGTAGTATTGCTATTGTTTGCCATTGGCATCCTGAGCTAATTGGTGTTGAGAAGAAGGAGATTATTGGCAGTTTGGTCTGGTGCACTGTTCAAGTCTTCTAGGACAGTCAAGATGTCATTCAGGTCAACTATCTAGCTTCAGATCTATTGGATGTCTATGTAAGTCAGGGTTTGAGATTCGAC